CTGTGGCAGGTCTTCTAATCTCTCTGAGTCTCACTTTTCAGATAAAGGGATCATTTATGAAGCTAAAATTTTACAATTCTAGTTTAGACAAAGGCTTACATGATAACATGAAAGGCTTAAAATTGTTATTATAATAAATAGGCTCAAAAAAAGAGCAAAAACATTAAGACTTGAGGGTATAAACATCATGTTAATAAACAATAGTATAAATTATAAAAGCAAGACAGACAAGTTGTTAAATTGACAAGTCAGTTTATATTTGTGCCATTTTTGATACCCCCAACAAATGCTTTCCAAAGAGAAAATTCCCAAGAATGTTACATAAAACACATTTGGATCTTTGTAACACTTTGATGACAGAATTGGCTTCAATTGGTAGCAGGAGGGGTAGGATTTCAATAGAATTTTTCCATTTTTTTCCCCTAATAAATTCATGGCATGAAATCCCAACTGTAGGATTAGGATATTGACAACATACTAAAAATATATTATCTTGCTGTCACTCTAATATGTTTAATCTACATTTGGATTCAATGTACAGTAACCCAAATGAATTAGAGGATTTAATTTAGCTTTAAAACATGTTTATTTAAACATTTGAGTTAATGAAAATATAGAGAATTTATTATTTTAATATGTTCAAAGGTTACATAAAATATGTGAAGCTTCGGTATTCATGATTTTCCTTTACCATTTTAGTTTCCCAGCATTTTTTTGGTTCAAGACATAGGGTGACCTGTTGGTAATGTTGAACTTTCATATCATTTTATGGCACTATTGTGACACAGTCAGTCCTCTTTAGTGGAAAGGAAACAGAAGTGTAGAATATTTAAATCTCTTCAGAAGCACTAAAGGAAATGTTAATGCAAATAAATTCAGAAAGATGCATGTAACTATTATAATAACATGTAAAGACATGGAGGAATTTCATGCAAATATTAGGATGCGAGTTGTTACGCTATAGTTTTGGTTTTGACAATTATTAATACTATAATTTCTATAATCATAGGAAGTGAAATTTTTGAGAGCTCTCTGACTCTTGTCAACTGGAAGGGCTAATTTGAGAAGGGTATGGTATGAAATGTGGCCCTTTATAGGCCGAAAACAGGGATTTGCTAGTGGTTGTTGAATGAATGCATGACTTGCATTGTTGGGCAAAGAAGTCAGGGCATTGCTTTTTCCCTTGGAGTAAGCAATGAAGTAAAAGGACATTGAGTTTTATAGTGCACACACATACTCAGTAAATACTGAGTTGAAGTGTTGTTGACTTGATGTTAAAGTTACTATGCTGACACAAAGGAGGATCTGGAAAGAAATGTAGGGAAAGGGTAGCTGGACACTGAAAAAATCTTGAGTTTTGGTAAATGTACTGTTGGATTTGCCAGAAAGGATAGAGAATAATGGAATAATAAGAAACAATTACCCAATTTTTATTTATTCATCAAGTAAATTTTAGGCACCTTGATAGGCCTTGCAGTACAAGAATGAAAGACCCAGCCCCTGCCTTCAGGGAGATTACAGTTGAAAGGAAGGTCACTGGGACAGCACCATGGGTGCTGTTATGGATTGGAAACATGAGCAAAAGCTCTGGCAGTGCAAAAGGTCCTCTGACCAGTTGACATTTTCTTGATCTAATTTTTTTTCTCATCTTTAATCCATTCTTGCTCCTAATAATTATTTTAAGAAGTAAGAATTTTCAGATGTTATTATAAAGTAAACCTAAGGGATCATCTAGTTTCTTACTACTCCAAGTGGGTGGTCCATGGAATAATGATACAGCATCAGTTGACGCTTCCTAGAAAATGCAGTGTTCTAGAAATGGCCATCATGTCGGACATACTCTTTCAGAACCTGCATTTGAACTATGCCGCCAGGTGATTCTTTTTCTCAGTGAAATTGGAGAAGTACTAATCTAGTTCACCTTCTCCCCTTCAGGGTTTATAGATGAAAGAAATGAAGAGAAATTATGCCCTAAGGTCCTACACACAGTAGCATAGCCAGCATTAGAACTCAGCCCACCTATTTTCTGGTAGTCTTGTATGCTTTCTCCGATACCTCTGTTATTTGCTATCTGTAACCCTGCACATTTTTACTCATCTGTCGGCCTCCATTACTGTTCCATATTGTAAGTTCTTCAGCTTCATATTCATGTCTCTTTCCTCTCTCTTTTTGGTAGTCCTCTCTTTATTTTTTAAATTTTAATTATTATTATTATTATTTTATTATTTTTTTTTTTTTGCCAACCCAACACTCAACCATGAAGGTAGTCCTGTCTTTAAATTTCTCTGTTGAACAAGAGAACAATACAGTGTAACACACTATACATCAAAGCGAATGAGTGTTTTTATTTAATTAATTTGTGGCAAATTTTTGGATCTATTTCTCTAATTATTTTCTACTTGCTGCTCAGAACTTCCTTGGAAGTCAATAAGAATTTTATATTGTGTAAGCATGAGAAATAATCCATGATGTTAGATACCAAAATCTCCTCATAGACGAATTTATTGTCCTTTCTTTATTATGTAGATTATTCCATTAACAGAGTACTTTTGCTCTTTGTATCAGTTTCATGGACGAAACAGTATCTGCCTTATAGTTTGTGGAGAAGACTAGGACACCGTAGCAACTCCTCTGTGTCCCAGAACTGGGCTTTAGGCTTCAGGGAGTTTGTCTAAATCTTTTCTTCTGTAATATAGAAAAATAAAGACCTAAGTAAATAAGCACCATGTGTTTTATGGGGCGGCTTTGGCATAGAAAGGTCTGGTCATAAAAGAATAATTAACATAGAAGGCTAAGATGTCATTAAAGAAAAGCAAACCGTTACTAATAAGAACACAGTGGCACAATGCCTTTAACAAAACTCAGCCATGCCTTTTTTTTTTTTTTTTTTTTTTAAGAGAAAAGGTTTCACTCTGTCTCCCAGGCTGGAGTGCAGTGGCACAATCATAGCTCAGTGTAACCTCGAAATCCTGGGCTGAAGGGATCCTCCCACCTCAGCCTCCCGAGTAGCTGGGACTACAGGTGCACACCACCATGCCTGGGTAATTTTCAAAATTTTTTTTGTAGAGACGAGGTCTTGCTGTGTTGCTCAGGCTGGTCTCTAACTCCTAGCCTCAAGCGTTCCTCCTCCCTCAGCCTCTCAAAGTGTGTTGCCATCTTTTAAGTTACTTCCTTCTTGTGAGAGGTTTACTCTGTGTCCTGTCTTTCAAATATTTTACTTTAACTCTGGAATGTATTTCATTTGAGTGGTAGAACCATAATCTCCATGAATGGTAGACCTCCTTTGTAAACTATGAAATAAAATTAGTTTTTCTGTTTTCCTTGTTCCCATATGTATTTTTCTTCCAAGTCACCATCTCACCTTTTTAACAACTCTGATTTCACTGAAACCGGAGTTAACGACGTTGCTTCTTAACTTTGGAGATATTCGATTAAATGTTATGTTTTATGTCTTATATCTTATTTTCTATTGACAGTATATAGAAACAGATTAATTTGTGTTTTTTTGTTTTGTTTTGTTTTGAGACAGTCTCACTCTGTTGCCCTGGCTAGAGTGAGTGCTGTGGCGTCAGCCTAGCTCACAGTAACCTCAAACTCCTGGGCTTAAGTGATCCTCCTGCCTCAGCCTCCCGAGTAGCTGGGACTACAGGCATGTGCCACCATGCCCGGCTAATTTTTTCTATATATTTTTAGTTGTCCGATTAATTTCTTTCTATTTTTAGTAGAGACGGGGTCTCGCTCTTGCTCAGGCTGGCCTCGAACTCCTGAGCTCAAACAATCCGCCCGCCTCGGCCTCCCAGAGTGCTAGGATTACAGGTGTGAGCCACCGCACCGGCCAATTTGTTTTTAACTAATGTGTTTTAATACCTACTTATCTAATCTAGAACCATTTTGCATATATAGCTTTAGTAAAAATGACAGTTTAAATAGGGGGTTATTGTAATCAGCAATTAAGTTAAATTCATTTAGGCTGGGTTTAGGAACTTGTATTTTCTTTTACTATTTAAAAAATAGATTATTTTCCTAAAAATAGAATGTAAAAATGTTTTTCATTGCTGAGAATAAACTAGACATTAGATTTGTAATCTTTAAATGTTTAGCTTTTAGAAATATAAAAATTAGTATTAATATCTTTCTATAATGTATTAAAAGATGAATTTTTATTAATCTCATTTGTATTTCATTATCACGCTTCTCTTAGAAATGTTTTACTTGTGGGAACATTCTATTATAAAATTGATTCATGGTTGCATATTTTAATATTATGAACAAATCAATTCATTTTAAATGTAATAATGTGTTGCATTATATATATTTACATATATGTAAGTTAAGTGATTTATAGCTGTAGAGAAAAGCACACAAATTGGTTATTCATGGGGAATAAAATAGATACATGCTCTTGACGAGAAAGTTAGAAAAATGTCTTGAATATGATTACCATTTAAATAAATGATAGATTTGTAGTGAATGCTAACTTAATCTCTCATGTAGAACCATCTTCCTGCCTTCAGTATCTGGCGATATCAGCAAATGGCTTCCATTGCCCCACACTCGTCAGTCTAATTCTCGCCTGCTTTAGGAATGGACGTACAGAGAGCTTCCAGGCTGCACTGATAAATTTCACGTATTTAAAGTGGAAAACAAGTGTTTCCTTAAAATATTTATTTTCTGTCTATGAAGTCTTTCATTAACTTTTTATCCTAAGCTTATCCCTCTATTTTTGGTGAGCTTTATTTCTTTTCTTTGTTCTCTAGGTTCTCTATAAAACATAATGTGTGACATAAGTAATGAAACTTAATTTTCAAAAGCTAGTTGCAGGAGTCAGTATTGATTCTCTACTTTTTATACCATGTATTTTTGTTGAGACTCAAAGGATAGTGATCTTCTGTATTTGGTTCAGATAGGGAAATTTAGTGGAAACATTTTAATCCCTAAAAGTTTATTTTATAAAACATTACTATGTAATTAATTTTATGTTATTTTTGTTCTTTCTGTAGATAAACGTGTGGAAAATTGGCCTCTGATGCAGTCTCCATGGCCTACACTAAGTATAAGTACCCTTTACCTCTTGTTTGTGTGGCTGGGTCCAAAATGGATGAAGGATCGAGAACCTTTTCAGATGCGCTTAGTGCTCATTGTCTATAATTTTGGGATGGTTTTGCTTAACCTTTTTATCTTCAGAGAGGTAGGTTTATTAAGATCACTCTACAATAATTCTCTGAGGTTCTTGGAAATTTTAAAAATGAAAATACATAATGTAATATTGTACCCCCAGATAACAGTTACTCTAAAAGTAAATTTTTGACATTTTTCACTCTTGAATAACAAAAAATATGAAATATAAAGTATAGGACAGTTGTTTAAAATGTGATTTTGAATCAAACAGACTGGATTTTAAAATAACCCATTTTAGCTGTTCTCGCATTGGAAGTTATTTAACTTTTCTCAGCCTCATTTTACCCATTTTATAAATGGGGAAAATACTCCTTTTTATTATCGGAGGTAAGTGAGATAATTTTTGCATGGTGTTTGGCA